CTAAATAAACAATATAATAAGTAAATAGTGTTTAATACTTTGCTGTAAATTCTCAAGAACAAAAATGTGTAAATACACTTTCATCATATGTTTAAGTTTTATTACAATTGTAATCATCGCTTTTTAAAACAATAAACATTGCTGAGTGGTGAAGGTAGTTAAAATAATAGCGGTGTCAAAGGAAAAGCCGTTCTTTTGACACACTTGTTTCGGGTAAGATGTTTCACAAATGCAAAAAATACATTGTAAAGCACAAAAACGTTAAAAGATTATCGATTCTTTTGGATAATGAAAAATGGTCAAAACTTATTTATGGCGATAAAAGCAAAGTCGAACAGAATTTTAATGCAAGAGAATATGCCCCCCCAAAAAAAAAGCGCGAAGAAAAGACGAAACATCTAGTGTAAGAAGTCAGAATATAGGGTTGTCTGCAAAAGTAGCAGCCCTGCATGGAACTGAAAATAACATAAATTCAAGTACATCTATTTAAATATCTTGGAAGTGTTTTAACTGAGGACGAAATGTGCGACATCGAAATTCAAACAAGAATTGCGATAGCAAAAGTTGCTTTCTAGAAGCTAAGCAGAGTATTAAGGAACAGGAAAATTCCGTTAAAAGCAAAGAAAAGTGGAATGAATTATTATGTAATATCTGTCCTCCTATATGACAGTGAATGCTGGACAATCTGATCTGATCCTTGAATCGAAGGCGAAGTGCTCCACATTGTTTCTTGCCAGATGCGTGCCCCGAGAAAAGGATTTGTTTTGATAGGCATTCGGGGCAAGGTGTCCGAACCATCGTCGACTGTCCATCTTTGTGCGGAGAAATGATAAAGAAGAGACATGAAGCCATAGAAAGGTGACTCTGCAGAAGGATGCTGAGAATACCATGAACTCAACATATGGGAAAGGAAAGAGCCCCATGTCGTCGATTCAAGGATCAGCTTAAAAAAAAACCCTTGCTGAGATCAGAAATCAATCCGGTCAATTGTGAGACGGAAGACGCAGAAATAACACATTAGAGAAGAGTAGTCGACGAAAAAAAAAAAACAAAACAATCCCTCAAAAACACTAGGAGACAAATAGAAGCGATAAAAAAGCCAGACATATCCATCCCTTGAACCCTCCTACTCTGCCACGCGATGGTTGCAGACGTCTCTTCAGATCCAACATAAGAATCATTTCGCATATGTAGTGAACAGTTAGGTAGAAGTAAACGAATCAGAGGGAATTGCGCCTGGTGTAAAGGAAAATAATAACTTCCTTACCACAAAACGCATCAATCCCCTGCCATCTTAGTGATTACGTATAGTTCGGAAAGATTAGCTTTATAACAGATTAACGTGGTTTGATCAATAGCAATACGCGTGCTGACTGGTCGGACTGAGTGGTTGACATTTGTCTCTGGGTTTGAAGACGAAGCCAAGAATGGTCATAAAATAAGGAAAAAAAATATTCCGATACTGATTTAAATTAGATATGTTCGTAAAAGCAGATTTCGATTGAAAAACGCAACCAACTTATGGATTTGTCAAAAGGTTACAGCACCTGATATTCCTATGCAGTCCCCCATATCGGTACTGACCGAGTTCGACGTTGCTTAACTTCTGCAAATCGTACGAGTACCGACGACGACGACGACGACGAAGAAGAAGAAGAAGAAGAAGAAGAAGAAGAAGAAGAAGAAGAACAACAACAACAACAACAACAACAACAAAAAAGCAACAACAACAAGAGCAAGCTTGGGCAAATGGTTGGTAAAACAGGAATTATGAGAGATAGCAAGAAGACAAAGTTTATTAAGAGCTACAAATGCAGGAAATTGTGGAGAGCCATGATCACCCACGTCCTGAATAGAGATGGCTCATAAAAGAAGAAAAAAAATATCCCGATACTGTTGACATTTGCCTCTGGGTCCGAAGACGAAGCCAAGAGTGGTCATAAAATAAGGAAAAAAATATCCCGGTACTGATTTAAAGTAGATATGTTCGTAAGGGTAGCGTTTGATTGAAACCACAACCAACTTATGTATTTTTTCACATCTTACAGCACCTGGTATTCCTATGCCGTCACCCATCTCGGCACTGGCTGAATTCAACTTTGCTTAACTTCTGTAATCGTACGAGTAGCGATGTTTGAATGTGATCAATTTCAGAAGCTAATAATCTATTCACTTGTCCGCTGATATGATTTATATATTCGACTTTTATAAGACTCGGAAAAGCCTCGAACAATATTGGCCTCGGGAACGTGAACGAGGGCCTTATTAATTTGAAAACTATAAAATTTAATAGATATTGAAATATTATGCAAGATTGCGCAACCATCATTCCCGCTCCGGTGTTTCGCTTTTGCATAAACTTTCAAAAATGAAAGTCATCTTTATGAGCATGTAGTTGAGCAGATGAAAATATATCGACAGGATAGACAAAAGGGTTTGTGAACTGACTCAGACCGAAAACATTCGGTTGTTAAAGACGTAATAATAATAATAATAATAATAATAATAATAATAATAATAATAACGATGTAACTATCCTCTGGGGCATTTAAATTCAAACTGACAGGGAAATAAAAGCTAACAGAACTGATATTATCATAAAAGAGATGAAATTCAGGAAGTGTATACTTATTGACATAGCAGTGCCATCTGAGAGAAGCCCCTCCATGAAAATTATCGAGAAATTGTTCAAATAAAAGGACCTGGAGATCAAGATTAACAGGCTGTGGGGAATGAAAACTTAGACAGTACCAATAATAATCGGAGTACTGGGCCTTGTGAGCAAACGGAATGGACAATTTTTACTAACAGTGTAACATCAGCATACAAGTTGCCCGGAAGATCGCCCTCCTGGGAACATCCTATATACTAAGAAAAGTGCTATCAATTAAAGGACAATTCTTCTATAGGATCTAAGGACCATAGTTTAGGCCCGGCTGTACGGGATACAAAGCAGAAAACATAACATACACAAATAATAATAATAATAATAATAATAATAATAATAAGAAGAAGAAGAAGAAGAAGAAGGAGAAGAAGAAGAAGAAGACAATGATAAAGGAAAAGTTAGAAATACAATCACAAATATTATCTTTCTGAACTGAAAGTGGAGATAAAAGTTTGACTATTTTTTTTTCCTCCATCGTTGGTTCGAACCTCTTTTGAAGCCATTAATACAACAGTTGAGTCTCATCCAATGATTATATTAAAATTAATATCTGAATTGGTGGCAGCAATGAGGATAATCATTATCATGATCATAGGAAAAAGACTCAGAATAAAAAGCCATAAATAACAATGGAAGGAAACAGTTATGATATGAAGGGGAGGGAGATGAAGAAGAAGAAGAAGAAGAAGAAGAAGAAGAAGAAGAAGAAGTCAACGACGACGACAATGATGAATAAAAAGTGAGAACCTTTTTTTTTTTTTTTAAAACGTTTTCTTATAAAAACAAAGAACAAAAACAGTTTCTTTAATATAAATATCCGGAGGGAGGCCTAAAGGAAAAACTCAATAAAATGCCGCCTCACCATGAATAAATTTTACATATTTTAAAAAACATAATTCCCTCGGGAATTAAAAATCTGTTAAAATCTTTTGTGATAAAAATAAAGAAAAAAATCGAAATTATGTTCCAACTCGGAAACTATAAACAGTAAAATAAATCAAACTATTTCTTTGTTTTAATTAATATTTAATTTTATTTACTAAATTATAGTTTTTTTTTTCGATAGATTGGATCGGAATAAAAGTTTACTGCGTTTTTTTTTTCCAAATGAATACAGAAGAATCGTTTCTATAAATATTTCCATGGTAATTGTTCCGATGAACTTTCTTCTATCATAACTAGACTTTATGAATTTAAGCGCAGTACGCCATTGGTAACAAGGTCTCTACATTTAGTTTTGAAATTGCTAGATTTCCACCCTAAGAGTTACTTCTCTCGCACTTCTCGCTTGTGGAACTCTTTTCCGGCTTCTTGGTTCCCAGTCAACATTGATCTTCAAAAATTTAAATGCAATATCAATCGCTATCTACTGACTTTTTAATTACTCGTCTATTGTTCTCTCTTTTAATAACCTTTCTCTTTTTTCTTATTCTTTCACACTCAGTAACACCTCGTATCTTAGTGGCTAGATATAACCGTAAGTTCTATGCTAACAGTTTCTTCTTTCGCACTTCTTGTTTGTGGAACTCTCTTCCGGCTTCTTGGTTCCCAGACAACCTTGACCTTCAAAAATTTAAATGCAATATCAATCGCTATCTTCTGACTTCTTAATTATTCTTCTATTGTTCTCTCTTAATAACCTTTCTCTTTTTTCTTATTCTTTCACAGTCAGTAACACCTTGTGTCTTAATGGCTTCATATAACCGTAAATTATCTTCTCCCGCACTTCTCACTTGTGGAACTCTCTTCCGCCTTCTTGCTTCCCAGTCAACATTTATCTTCAAAAATTTAAATACAATGATCGGAACTGTCACGCTGGTATAACCGGAAAAAGCGATTATCGTGGGTTACAGAGGCTGAACCATTGAGAAGATTGTCGTTGTCAGAGGCTGAACCATTGAGAAGATTGTCTCTGGTAATTCCAAAAAGGTAAAAACGCATCGATGTCTGCCGGCTTTAACTCGAGAATAAACTTCTGTGGCTCAGTTCTCAGTAAGAAGAATATCAATCGAAAGGGTGTCTCGAAAAAAGTCATTAAATGAATCCCAATCAGTACGCTGGTAACAGAAAGAAGTTTTGTCAATAGAATGTTTTGTAATGTCTTCCCGATATTGCACCTGAAATATAGAAATTCGTTAAGCCGCTGTAATTTGCATGTCTATTTTTCCTCATGACAGCATGACAATAAACTGCTTAGAGGCCTTGTTACACCATAAGCAAATCATTTCCGTGAACTTGTCAGAAGGCCTATTAAGATATCTCGTTCAACAAGATTTATGCCGCGGTAACAGATTTATTTAATGTCTTTTCAGTTATTATAAATGTCAGTCTTATGTCTTTCACCTTCTTCTCTCTCTTTCTCTCTCTCTCTCTCTCTACCTACATATCTCAATTTGTCCGTATCTATCAGCGTCCATCTGTTAAAGGATTTCTTTCTTTGGCAATCTACTCGAGCCTACATGCTTGTTGTCTCACCACTCATTCTATCTTTGAAGCTGGGCTTATTTATCTCTTTGCCTATTCCCTTCATTTTATTTCACATAGAAGCATCCGGAGAATCTATTTTAGTGTATTCATATCTATCTATCTATCTATCTATCTATCTATCTATCTATCTATCTATCTATCTATCTATCTATCACAGTCTGTTCATATATATATATATATCTTTCTCAGTCTGTTCATATCTATCTATCTATCTATCTATCTAACGCAGGCTGTTCATATCTATCTCTCTCCCAGTTTGTAGCTAGCTAGCTAGCTAATCTATCTATCTATCTATCTATCTATCTATCTATCTCGGTCCGTTTATATCTATCTCTTTCTTTCTCAGGTTGTCTATCTTAGTTTGTTCATATCTATCTATCTATCTATCTCAGTTTGTTTATATCTCTCTATGTCCATATATATCTCATTACCATTATGTCTCTCTCGGTATATCTATCTATCTATCTATCTATCTATCTATCTATCTATCTATCTATCTATCTATCAAGCTAGCTAGCTAAGCTCTATCTATCTATCTATCTATCTATCTATCTATCTATCTATCTATCTATCTATCACAGTCTGTTCATATATATATATATATCTTTCTCAGTCTGTTCATATCTATCTATCTATCTATCTATCTATCTATCTATCGCAGGCTGTTCATATCTATCTATCTCTCTCCCAGTTTGTAGCTAGCTAGCTAGCTAATCTATCTATCTATCTATCTATCTATCTATCTATCTATCTATCTATCTATCTATCTCGGTCCGTTTATATCTATCTCTTTCTTTCTCAGGTTGTCTATCTTAGTTTGTTCATATCTATCTATCTATCTATCTACCTATCTATCTATCTATCTATCTATCTATCTATCTATCTATCTATCAAGCTAGCTACTAGCTAATCTATCTATCTATCGCAGTCCGTTTATATCTATCTCTTTCTTTCTCAGGTTGTCTCAGTTTCTTCATATCTATCTATCTATCTATCTATCTATCTATCTATCTATCTATCTATCTATCTCAGTTTGTTTATATTTCTCTATGTCCATATATATCTCATTACCATTATGTCTCTCTCAGTTTGTTTATATCTATCTATCTATCTATCAAGCTAGCTACTAGCTAATCTATCTATCTATCTATCGCAGTCCGTTTATATCTATCTCTTTCTTTCTCAGGTTGTCTCAGTTTCTTCATATCTATCTATCTATCTCAGTTTGTTTATATTTCTCTATGTCCATATATATCTCATTACCATTATGTCTCTCTCAGTTTGTTTATATCTATCTATCTATCTATCTAGCTAGCTAGCTAGCTAGCTAGCTAGCTAGCTCAGTTTGTTCATGTCTTTATTTCCATATATATTTCATTACCAATTTTTCTATCTTAGTCTGTTCATATCTATCTATCTATCTATCTATCTATCTATCTATCTATACAAGTTTGTTCATATCTATCTATCTATCTATCTATCTATCTATCTATCTATCTATCTATCTATCTATCTATCTAAGTTTCTTCGTATCTACCTAACTTTCTTCATATCTAAGTTTGTTCATATCTATCTATATATCTTTCTTCATATCTATCTGTTTGGTCATATCTATCTATCTATCTATCTATCTATCTATCTGACAAGCTACCCTCATTGATACCATCAATTCAGACCTTGAGATCTAAGACATACCATGCCACTGACACAGAAGCGAACCATCCACATTCCTTTCTTATTATAAATCGTATTGCTTTGTATTATTTTCGTTTCTCTGTGACTACTAAAACAACAAGTAGAATCTTGAAAATAAAAAAAATAAAACAAACTTCAATCCATAGGTAGAAAGATAGATAAATATTTAGATAGATAGATAGATAGATAGATAGATAGAAAGAAACTCAGATAAACGATAGATAGGAACGGACTGTGATAGCGACAGACAGATAGATAGATAGATAGATAGATAATGTTCTGACTGTGATAGATAGATAGAAACAAAATCAGATAGATAGATAGATAGATAGATAGATAGATAGATAGATAGATAATGCTCTGACTGTGATAGATAGATAGATAGATAGATAGATAGATAGATAGATAGATAGGAACAAACTTAGATAGATAGATAGATATGAACAGACTAAGATAGAAAAATTGGTAATGAAATATCTATGTAAATGTATTCATATAAAGGGCGCGATGGATAAACTGTCGTCTAAATTATGCAAAAATGAAAATAACACTGACACCTTATTTTAACAGATACATTTACCAAAATATCTTGAAATACTAAACAGTAAATTTATTCAATAAAAAGGCAATCGGCTTCAACCACGGCCCCCAGACAACTTCGGAATCTGCATCTCCTCTGGACGTTCTCCTTTTTTTTTTTAATTTATTGAATGCTGCCACAAGCCTTGTCTTCAGTTCATCTTTGGTGTCACCAAATGTTTTGTTGGATTTTCGCTCAACTGCAACCCACACATAATCATCAAGGGCCGTTAGGTTGACAGAAGTAAGAGGTGATGTGGTCGCAGAAATTGCCAAGCAATACAGCATACCGTTTCTAAAATTCTGGCGGAGTGAATTGCGCTATGGTGATCTTTTTTCTCACAGAGAGTGCCCAACTGATCCTAATATTATGTGCAGTCGACAAAATCGAAAACAAAGAACGCGCATGAGCGAAATTAAAACTAAATAATGGCGACAATTTACACATCGCACATTGTATATCTTCCTCAGTATATTGATATCTATATTTATCGCTATATGTATCTGTTTGTTCCTTTCTATTTATATATCTATCTCAGTCATTTCATATCTATCTATCTATCTATCTGAGTTTGTTCCTATCTATCACAGTCAGAACATTATCTATCTATCTATCTATCTATCTATCTATCTGAGGTTGTTCCTATCTATCTATCTATCACAATCAGAACATTATCTATCTATCTATCTATCTATCTATCTATCTATCTATCTATCTATCTATATATATATATATATCGTTTTTAGTTAATCTCAGTAACCTCTTCATCCTCACCCCACTATTAATTCCTTTACCCCTTCATTAAACACCACCTCCACAAAATCCTGCACCATCTTTTGTTCCATTTTTTTTTATTCAGTATATTCCTTGTACTATTTTATTTACTCTGATAAATTTAATACAAAATCACTTGAAGGTCTTCAGCGAATTTACAAACATGGGACAATTTCAAGGCGCCATTAAAATATTTGTATCTCTAAACAGGCGACACCTGGCGGCAACGCTGAAAACCAAAATCTTTTAAAAACATTTTTCTCAAGTATTCACTCATCGGATAAAATAAATAAAGAACGAAAGAAAATGAAGGAATTTAATGCAATGATTACATCCTGAAGAGCATATCGAGTTAGGGGTGTTCGGGTCGTGAAGACGAAGTGGAATATGGAGACACGCGGAAGGACAATGTTGGTAGGGAATGTCTTCTGTTCAGCAAAACTGAACGTTAATTGTGTTAGCGGTGGGTTTTTTTTTTTGTTTTTTTTTTGGGGTTTTTTTTTTTTTGGTTTTTTGTTTGTTGTTGTTGCTGAGGTGAAGAGTCGAAGGTGAAGAGGAAATACTATAAATACGGGAAGATAAACGGAGAGAGAAGAGAAGAAAGAGAGACAGAGAGAGAGGAATGGTGTATGAAGAGAGGAAAAATGAAGAAGAGGTCGTAAGATGGCGAGACGAGTAGGCAGAAATTGCACCCACACACGTTCGTACACATAGAATATGTATACATGCATACACGCACAGATGTCAAAAGGCCGGAGAAAAAAAGCATTTCGTAAGGAAAAGTTAAATCGTAAATATAAAAAAAGAGATTGTAATATGCAAAGAAGAAGAAGGAAGAGTAAAAGTGAAAGGTGTAGTCCATAGTTAGTAGACAGTGAAGAAGGATTATTAGTAGTAGTATTAGTATTAGTATTAGTAGAATGGTAGTAGTAATAGTAGATTAAGACACATAAAGTAAGAATAAGAAGTTTGAGACGAAGAAGAAAACGAGTAGAGAAAGAAGAGAATATTGGTAACAGAAAAAGCATAATTATCATCAATAGCCAGTCAGTTAGGTGCCATACGTGATACACGCTTAGGCGGTCATGTATCTTTCGATACAAGACGGACGAGGCAGTAGGTTTGCATTTCTTGCCATTTTTTTTTTTTTTCATTTTTTTTTAATTCCAGACAATCTTTTGTCACTTTGGCCAGTGCTGATGTTGAATATTGTTTTTTTAAGATTGAAGGAGAATACAGTACAAGGGGAAACACGTCAGGAAATAGGGGCCAACTAAAATTTAATCTATTTAAAAACTCTCTCTCGCTTTCTCTCCGTCTCTCTCTCTCTTTCTTTCTCCCTCAGACACACACACACACACACACACACACACACACACACACACACACACCACATTGTGGAATGGTAATACGAAGTCTGATCAAAAAAAATATCAGGACTGGTGCTATAAAAAGGAAAACTACAACACATATCAATTCAGCATTTAATCTCCTTCAGAGTAGACCCCTTCTGAAGGTACGCACTTTATCTAGCGAAGTTTCTATTAATGGACGCATTCCTGGAAATCTTTATTTGAAATAACGAGCAGCTGCCTTCTTAGATTTCCTCGACGTTTTGGAATCTTTTTCCTTTCAAGTGAGATATGCTTTCTGAAGAAGAAGAAAAAACGCAAGGAGCAAGATCTAGGGAATATGGTGGTTGTTGGACCTGGGGAATATTGTCCTTAGAAGAAAAAAAAAACTACTACACAGGCCATGATCACGGATGGAACCTCTCTGATGTACTGAGGTGATCACACTCTACACACTTGAAGGAGAATAGTGTACTAGGGGAAACACGTTATCAAGAAATAGGGGCCAATTAAAAGTTCATCCATTTAAAAAAACTCTCTCTCGCTTTCTCCACGTCTCTCTTTCTCTCTCTCTCTCTCTCTTTCTCCCTCAGGCACACACACACCACATCGTGGAAAGGTAATACGAAGTCTGATCAAAAAATATCGGGATTGGTGCTATAAAAAAGAAAACTACAACACATATCAATTCAGCATTTAATCTCCTTCAAAGTAGACCCCTTCTGAAGGTACGCACTTTATCTAGCGAAGTTTCGATACATGACTGACGAGGCAGATTTTTTTCACTCGCAGTATGTTGCCATTTCTTTCTCCGGTAGACCACTTGCCATCCAAGTCTATAAAAACCGGTCTGTCCTGCTATTTACCCATAGCTGGGAGGATAAGAGGATCCATACCTTTCCCAAGGGTATTAGCTCAAAATATTAGTAGAATAGCGGTAGAAACATAAAGATTAAGAAACATAAAGTAAGAATTAAAAAAAATGAGAAGAAGAAAAAAACGAGTAGAAAAAAAAGAGAATATTAGTCATAGAAAAAGCATCATTATCATCAGTAGTCAATAAGCTATATGTCATGAGTGATACACGCTTAGGCGATCATGTATCTTTCGATACATGACTGAAGAGGAAGATTTTATTCCCGCAGTAGGTTACCATTTCTTTCTGCGGCAGACCAGTTGCCATCCAAGCCTACAGAACCCGGTCTGTCCTGCTATTGATCCATAGTAGGTGGGGAGGGGGAGAAGAAGAGGGCTGATACCTTTCCCGAGAATGGAAGTGAATGTAATGGATTCGACTGGAATTCGAACACGGATCTCCGATTCCTAAATACGAGCCGCTAACTTTTACTCCACTGTGCCTCCTACTTCTCATCAGTAGTAGCAGCAAAAAAAAAAATAATAATAATAAGAAGAAGAAGAAGAGGGAGGGAAAGAAGAAGAAAATATGCGTAATAGAAAGTCAAGAAGAAGACAGGAAAAATGAATAATAGAGTAAAAA